AGAGCGAACATGTTGAGCTCAGGGGGCATGTTCAGTGCGCTCCCGAGCGAACATGTTTGGCGGGCTCCCGAGAAACATGTTCAGCGTGCTTCAGAGCGAACATGTTGAGCTCAGGGGGCATGTTCAGTGCGCTCCCGAGCGAACATGTTTGGCGTGCTTCCTACTTCAGTAAGAGGTGAAAGGCGAGTGCATCTACTGTGGACGTAGCTGTCGCTGTGCATGATGTATTAGTCATATCTATAGCCCTACGCAATACTGTCACACCCCGAGAAACGATACCGAATTCCCTGCATACAAAAGTGCCAGACATTACATGGATCTCTTGGTAACATCATTACCATAGTCCTCACTTTCGCGTTCGTGTTCACCCTGTGGCGTATGTCGTCGTAGCCATCGTGATGCGTCCGTATGAGTCCTCTTCGATGAGCTGTCCGAGTCGTCACGATCACAATTGGGCGAGTGTGCGAAGCCCACAGGGGGCGATCCCTGGTCACCGGAGTGAGTGCTGTTCACGCTGCCACGGTGCGAAGCATGCGAACGCATGCTCGGCGACGGGCTTGGAGCGCGGACACCAGGACCGCTCATCGGCGGCAGCGGCGCCTGGCTGTAGCCCGGCGGCGGATCACTTAGCGCCTGCGAAGCTGGGGCTGCGCTACCGCGGTAGTCGGCCGATGAGCATCTCTGCGACACCCTCGTCGTAGTCCTCATCGACGACACGGTTCGGGACGCCATCGGTCGACTCGGGTAAACTCGGCTTCTGGCTCTGGTTCGGTCCGCTGCTACCTGCCTCGGGCGTCTCGCGACCCTTGTACGGGCGGTACGACCCAGACGGCTGTTGCTGCTGCTGGTACGGCTTGGGCGTCTCGGTGTGCGAACGCGGCGCAGGACTTGGGCCAGGCGTAGACGCGGGTGTGGGCTCGTTGTTCCTGCTACGACCCGTCGTGGCGCGCCTGCGCTTCTTCGGTTCGAGCACCAGAGCACCCATCGTGCCGCCGTGACCAGCGTGCGCTACGTATGGTCTCTCCGACGTACGGCTTGGGGACGACAGTGGGGAAGGCGGAGCGCCACTGTTGACGTGTCACTGAGGAGGAGGACCGTTCTCGTGGCGCCTGCTGGGCGTATCCACCTGCATCGGCTCGCCACGCATGCTGGGATGTTCGTGCGGGGAGATAGGCAGTATCTGAGATCCAGGCGGGGGGTAGCCACGGCTAGAACCAGTAGGCGGGGAACGTTCATGGCGCGGCTCGTAGTATGGCGGCTGTTGCGGCGCATACTCGGGCCCAACACTGGCGCGCATTTTGCGCCGGTATTCCCAATCGCAATGTGTGTCACGCTCGCGGTCCTGTTCGCGTTCGCGTTGTGAAACCGGCGCAGGCTCGCGTGAGTAGCCGTGCGGCGACCGCGGAGTAGAACTGTGGAGGACTTGCACTGATCGAGCAGACCGACTGGCAACCGAGTGCGGAGGCGCGCGGGGCATCGAATGGGATACATTCGTGGAGACGGTCTCTGGATTCAAAGGCTATATCGCTCACTCGGTACAGTAATGGGGAGAGCGCTGTAGGACCTAGTCGAACGGCGGGGAACGTAGCTGCGCGACCCGAGAACACGCAGAAACACGCGTCCGAATGCCGAGCGGGAGAGCCAAATCCGAAAGTCGTGAATAGATATAATAAATCTGAGGCAACATGACGAGTCGGGAAGGGTGACAGGCGACACCGGCGCGGGACAGCGCGTCAGGCCACGCGAGCGACCGTGGACAGCCGGAACCGGGGTCTTCGGAGTGTGGTTTGGTCTGCAATAAGCGCTACTTCCGAGCAAACATGTTGAGCCCCGAATGAACATGTTGAGCTCAGGGGACATGTTCAGTGCGCTCCCGAGGGGATCTGGGGCACGTTCCAGAGGAACATGTTCGCCTCCGGAAGAACATATTGACTGGGTGTTCGCGACTAAAAGCAAGTGTTCGCTCTGTGACCAAGTTCAACTTACTCCGCGCAACCATGTTCGGGGTCACCTCCCAGAAGTGTTTCCTTGAGCGAACATATAACTCAAACACGTCTACTCTCACCACCGTCGTGACCGAGTGGCCGAACGTCTGCCGTTTACAGTCCTTCCTTCCCTACCATCACCTCAGCCACTGACCAGTCGCCCTCGGCATCTGCTTGTCCTACTTTCTGAACGATGCACGCCTTGAGTGCAGACGGGCGCTATGCCCACGCGCGCGCCATCCTCGGCCTGGAGCTGCACGAGAAGTTGCCTACCCTGAAGGTCTTGCTCGTCGGTGCGGG